TTGCTTGGCGTTCGTTTAGCGTATATCTTAGATCTTTTACCGTATTGTTTGGCGTTCGTTTAGCATATATCTTAGATCTTTACCATATTGTTGGGCGTTCATTTAGCGTATATCTTAGATCTTTATCGTATTGTTTGGCGTTCGTTTAGCGTGTATCTTAGATTTGTTACCGTATTGCTTGGCGTTTGTTTAGCGTATATTTTAGATCTTTTATTTTTTTAAATGACGCATATAGTCTAGTGAACCTAATTGAACCTACTGAAAACCTAACAAATATATTCCAATATGATCAGATAAATAAAGCAATATTTTCTTATGGCTCTGTCAGTAATCTTTAATTTTCAACAGACACAAAAGACAAATTTCCTTTATATAAAAATCCCCATAACATGAACATTAAATGAAAGAAACCTGTATTATTCAAGGCACCATCAGTAGCCTATATTTTCTATTTTAGCAAAAGTGGGCTAAATTTACTTCAAAGAAAAAAATAATAGCAATTTTCTATCATCCACTTAACTGAAATATTTTTTAAATATAATTGGATTGAAATACAATAAAATAAAGTGCAAAAATCTATTAATCAAAAACAACACTTTCCTCAAGGAGAAGTAACATGCAGTGAAAACAAATATTAAACTTTAACTTTTAAACTTGAACTGAGTAAAAACTCTAAATATGTGATTGCACAGTAATGTTCACTTGTTTGAGGTTGAGGGTGATACTTGGTGGTGTCCCATCTTTTCCACAAGTTCATCAATGTTCGGGGTAAGGCTCTGAGCTGAGGAAATCCTCAGAATTGAGTGAAGGTGTTCAGCAGTAAGTCGACTTCTGTGTGATGTTTTGTTCAGGTTCATCAAAGAAAACAAAATAAAAATATATTATATTATAAAATATTCTGTTCCCCCTTTCTAACTTTGGCAAATAAAGAGCAAATGTTTCCAAATTCACAGGACTAGTTGTCCATGACGAGAGGAATGAGCAGAGTTAAGGACTTTTAGCAATAATAATTTATTCCCATGTTGTGGGAGGGGGGGGGGGGGACAGTTTATTTCAGGTAACTAATAGAGAGAGAGAGAGAAAAAACAGACATTAAATGCAAAAAAATAGCAGCTAGAAATATCTGTTCTTCAATAGTGTGATATTTTTCATATGAACGAGATTTACCAGAAAGCCTATATTTGTTTTCAGGAAGTTTAATTTTTCGTGCCCTGCTCTCACCAGCTTCCATCCTTCTACATTAGCAAGAAAAAATTATAAATACGCATGATGTGTTGGTGGCTGACTCATATTTGTCAGGCTAAAATGAACATGACCAAAGTTGTAGATTCTCTCGGCGATTAAATAAAACAAAACAAAAAAAAAAACAAGACCAGGTTTTTTGTTGTTGTTGAGGTTTTCATTTATTTATTTACCAGGAGCTGTCCATTAAAATGAAAGTTACAACCGTGACACGATTACGTGGACTCGTTTTACCGAGAAATTTATCAGATGAGCCGTGAAGACGGTCAGAGCCGCCTCTCTGGTTGCAGTGTGCGCTCCCGACACAGGGGGAACAGATTTTCACAGGGGAACAGAATTTCGCACAAGACCGGCTTGCTGCGGTCTGCGGGCCGGTTCTAATAATAAATCAAGATCATCCCAGGGGCCGTAAAAAACCTTCTCGCGGGCCGGATGTGGCCCGCGGGCCTTGACTCTGACATATGTGGTTTAGCGTATATCTTAGATCTTTTACCATATTTTTTGGCGTTCGTTTAGCGTATAGCTTAGATCTTTATCGTATTGTTTGGCGTTTGTTTAGCATATATCTTAGATCTTTATCATATTGCTTGGCGTTCGTTTAGCGTATCTTAGATCTTTATCGTATTGTTTGGCATTTGTTTAGCGTATAACTTAGATCTTTTACCGTATTGTTTGGCGTTTGTTTAGCGTATAACTTAGATCTTTTACCGTATTGTTTGGCGTTTGTTTAGCGTATAGCTTAGATCTTTACCGTATTATTTGGCGTTCCTTTAGCGTATAACTTAGATCTTTTAT